GATGGATGGATGGATGGATGGATGGATGGATGGATGGATGGATGGATGGATGGATGGATGGATGGATGGATGGATGGATGGATGGATGGATGGATGGCTGGGTGGATGTATGGAACGATGGATGGCTGGGTGAATGTATGGAACGATGGATGGATGGGTTGATAGATGGGTGGATGCCTGTATGCATGAACGGAGAGATAAATGAATGGAGCATATAAATCAAATTCTAAAATCAATAGATCCATATTAATATTAATATTTACAGAGGGCAGTATCCTGTCATGTCCACACATGATCGTGTTTGCATCGTACATCCGCAGTTGTCCACAGAGTTAGCGACGTCGCAAGAACCGTATGGTCCCCAATTTATGCATTCACACGGCGGGCATGTTGCTAAAATGGCGAAATTATGTCGTCCGTGATTGAACTCAAAGAGATTTCTGAATACAATACAGTTGCATACGAAAGCCCAGAAGGCTCATATAAGCCTTTACTTTATTCAATATATCCCAATTTTTGGGGGGGTCGACTCGAAATTAAGCCTAGTGCCACTTTGAACCGCACAGCACTCACTTGTTAGTAAGTGCACTATTCTTTGTTATTTATACTCTCACGTCATACCTATCATACACCTGCTGTATTGCAACTAATATAAATTACGTGCTAAATAAAGAATAAAGAATCGGAATCAATGCGATCAGCTTTTACGGTTATAGTTTGCGTTTCCACATACGTTGCTTGTAGGATATTAATTGTGATGGTATTTGCCGTATGATTGTCAATGTGCGATCCGGACAATGTTAAACCGGGTTGTAAACACTGGCATTGTTTATGAAAATATTGCAGCCAAAGAACATGCATTTAAGATAATTATTAAATACATACCCATGTAATTCAACGTGAATGAGAAACCGAAATTATTTACAAGTCGGGCTATCAGTACCATCTCATTTGTTGCCGATGTTAGGAACGGATATCCATATGTGTTTGAAGCGCAAAACCTAACGATATCAACCCAGATCAATCATGGTATATTACTATGGCAATAATAGCTAGTTCTCCTAATATAACTGCGATTTATCCTTATCGTCTACAATAACTGCATCTTCTACGTGATGCATTCTGTATACATCCTATATTACACTAAAGACAAATTTAGAGATCATAAATGTCGTCTTATAGATTCCCTTGACGACATATATATATACGGTCATCAATGATGGGAAAATGCCCCAAGCGTATCATATAACTCCCGTTCTTATTCCTAGTGATAGCTCGTATGACTGGTGACATCATTGATGTATTTACATGTATTCCACTAGACCTATACTACATGCTTACCAGGGCCCTGGGCCTGCTAAATCCAAGTACTTGACCTCAAGCCAATCTGGGCACCCGAGTCTTCCTTCACACGTCAAACCGTCCAAACTATAGCAGACAGACGAAATCGAAGTGAACTGAAAACTGATGGTTGCTGATAGCGGTGCCTACGGGACAAACACCACCCAAGCAAAAATTACACGATACGTATCAATAAATGATCAAATACGCGTGTTATTACACATGCTCTCTAAACGAAATTTTCGTGCAGATAAATGAATAAAAGTTGAAAAAAGTTCGTGAATAAAAGTTGTTGCTTTATTAGGAGCATGTGAATGAAGTTATATATCGCAGTATATAGAGCGATTCACGGCAACCTCTATAACGGTAATTTACTAGATTACTGCAAATGAACAAGATACTCGTAACATAACAAGAGTACTGACTGCGTCACTCGTATATGTACCTGTAGCAGCCAATATGCTTCTTGTTTGTGAGTAGCAGCTGATATCGAAGCCGAGAAAGTTTGGACACTACTGCTGCATTCTACGTTCAAAATTCCGCCTTCTGTCGCTAAAACAAAGTATTAGTGTAGCATAAAG